TACTGGATAAAGACACCTTTTCCAAGACGATATACTCTAATCTTATATCCAAAAGTGTTGCCATTGTAGTTTAACCACGCCACGTGTCGCATGGGAAGAATTGCCCCGTGTAACTGGGCATTTAGGGTCCTTACTTCACATGTAAATGGAAGAACTAATTCAGATACTAATTTGTGTAATGAAATTTACAATTTAAAATAATAACGTATTGTTTTAGTGGTGACGATATTGAGAATCCGTAATCGCCTGGCCGCACGGCATCGAAAGATGACAGGAAAATTCTTTGTATACTGGTCTTACTATGCGTAATACAACGCCTGTGAAATACAATGCTTATGCGAAATTCGAACACGCTGACAACTTTGTTTTTGACAATACAGATTTTAACACCACAAACAATTTTGCATATTTCAGTTCTGTGAAATCTCATAAACTGAAAATACTGTCATCTGCTTTAGTAAAATACCAAAGTAGTTGGTGAGCAAGTGAGTAGTGAGCAAGTCTGCTAACTTGCCGCCCAATATTTTTGAGATTTGCTGTAGAGGTATTGTGAATAAATGCTACCTACCTACCCCAGTGACTGTTGAGATCATATGTCGAGACTTTGTTTGTCACAAATTTTTGTCAGTTTTCACTTTATCATTCTGTGCATCATATTGATACGAAGTTGTGTGTATCCGCGCACCTGTTGTTACAGCGGAGGACATCATAGCGTGTCTATTATACGTTGTAGGTCTGGGGACGTAATACACACAATACTAATACAATGTACTAATACTGTCTTAAAAGATGTGTTTTATTAAAGCGCGGTAGTCGTCGCGCTGCGCATGTTAGACATTTGTGTTGATAAACATTGATTTTCCCATAATCCAATGCGCTCTTCAAATGGAAATCACAAGTATGAGGTTTGACCTTGGCGCGACTTGCACTGATTACCCCCAGTGACTCCTTCGATACCTTCAATCACATGAAAATTACCTAATTAAAGCTTGGAAACGTGTCAGTTCGTACTCGTTGATCTGCGCAACAGTCAAAGTCGCCATCTTTGTTTATATGATACCCATATATCTACCGCACTTTAATTAATTACCCATTCTCATCTCAGTTACAGTAATTTGTAATTTCAATTGACGCAGACACGACAAACAATCTAGTACTGCTGGGCCGTTTCCACCAATCAGATAGCAGGATTCACGATCTATATCCTCGTTCAAAATTTATAAGATCTCACCATAATCTAAGCCGTCATGATTGACAGTGGGAGGGTTTAACCTATTGATTGAGCGATGGAAATTCGTTTCGGGACAGCGCTGCCATGCCAGTGTCACAAGAATGACTGTATTTCTTTTTATAGCAATTCGTTCACTTTCACAATACAATCATAACGACTGGGTCAGTCCAGACGGTCACCTGTCTCGTGAAAACGTTAGTGACATAAAGCACTGGTTCGTATTTCCTCGGCCACCGAACAAGCAAACACATTTCGTAATCATGCTATTGCATCATCGGTTGAGTGGCCGTAACTGAACGTGATTGAATTATGAAATTTTCAAAACATTCGACATCGATTAGATAGCAAAAAACAAAAACAAATGTACAGTGCTCAGCAACGTGAAAAAGTAAGTAAAAATAAATATTCAACCATCTCCTTATACATAGTTTACAAAGGTCATCTCAAAATTGCGAAACTACTAATTTAAACCAAAATTCTGCAATCCCAACTTTCAAAACGTTCCCTGAAATCCTCCAATATACACATTTGATTTACACCACTTCTAGATAACGTCGTCGTCAGCGCGCGTACGCAGATAACGCGAATTTGAACGTCAACAATCATCAATTACACGTATTCATTATATAACGAAGAGTATCACGTTCCTCCACTCGTTCTTTTCTCATGCTCGTTCCGCGAAGCATTGTATTATACAGTTCGATTAACTTGCGACATAATTTGAGCAGTACTCAAAAGTTCAAATAACACAGCACGTTTGTTCAATGAATATGGTTCTAGGAGTAGGCGCACTGAATTAAGTCATATTGTATTATTTTTAGAGCAGCACGAACAATCGCAAAAAAATTTGAAAGAAACTGTATTTTTGTCAAGCCACGTGTTTATATAACTAATAATATAAAAAGCGCTACAATCATCGTGCCACGTTGTCCCTTGGCGACGTAATAATAAACAAGTAAATAACACTAAATAAATGGAAAGGTACGTCAAATCAAAGTAAACATGTACTGCGTGCGTGACTGGAACCGGCATCACGTACGGAACCTAGCTTCACGTCACGACACATCTTCAACCCCCAAACAAGTATGATTAAAGCGAGGGGGTCGTCACCTGCGCATGCGTCAGATGGTCATTGCGCGTCATTGTTTACAAACCCATGAGCCTTTGCTTTTTTTTTAGCAAAAGCACGCCAAAATTGTAACTCGATGTCCAATTAACCGATCTTTGAGTTACGGACAACATCGATTTTGTTGTTGTTTAACGTTGTCGCATACGACTTATTTACCACTTCCGTGTTACTGAGAATGTTCTAGAACCGTACTGTGTCTGGGTGGAATATTCTAGATTTTTTTTAGAAACTGGTTGAATAGGTAATAGAACACTGGAGGAGGCAATAGAAGGTAATGGAACATTCTAGAAATTTATAGTAAATTCCAGACTCATTATGTATGCTGATGTAATGGTCTATTTATAGACAGTGTGGGTATATATAG